TGTATATCCCTGTGTTCTGTACAGGAACAATGTGAATGTAATCCACTGCATACTCCCTATTCAGCTTTTAAGGGAAAGTGTTTTCAAGGGGGAACAAAGCAGCAACAAACTCTTCTCCCCTTATCCCTGCAAGAGCACTGGTGCTTAGTTTTCCCTATTCAGCTGACCTCAGTTGATCCCTCTCCCTCCTGCTGATGTTGTTCTGTCTGGATTTTGCAGAAACTGATTAAAAGAAGGGCATTTTACACTACAAGCTCGCTGGTGAGAGCTATGATAACAGTGGACTCCTATTTTTCATCTTGACTGATTGCATTTAACAATCTGTCCTGTTACATATCATTTACTGGTACTTGTAAAAGCACAGGGATTGACTGTGTGAGTTTTTTGAACAATGCTTTTGAACGTCTTTAATTTAATGGGCCAAGTAGAAACAAGGTGCTCAAAATAATTCCTTATTGCTATTGTCATTGCATCCAAATTAGGATGTTCCTTATGATAGATAACAGTCACTTACCTGTGAGATAAAGATTAAATAATAACCACGTTGAAAGAGGTATGTCATAACATACATCTCGTAAAACCCACAAGGCATAGAAAATATAAAAATTCTTCAGCTCTCTAATTTTATAGACAGTTGGGTGGCAGGTCCAACCTGGTGGACAGAACTGAGATCTGAAACAAGCAGCAACATGGTGCTCAGAAATTTGGATCAGGACCACAGGCATGAACAAATGAGCCCAGAGCTGCATCAGTATCCTGAAGGTGAACAAAAGTTTCAAAAGACAGCAGATTGGAGATTCCAAGTTGTATTTTCTGTGGGTTTCTATGTTCTGAGAGAAGGATGTGGCTGAACAAGACCTAAGATACCCTAGGGCTTTTCTCCAGAAAACCACAGAAGAACCTGAGTATGAGATGGGAATTGTAGGAAGAGGTTTCAGACCAGGTTCATGCTGTTGAGTGGCTACCAGCATGATTTTACCTGGAGACTACATCACTCCCAGCCTTGATGCAGGCTCAGTCTCGAGCCCCCTCCAGAAGCAGAAACCTGGAGCAGATGAAGTCAAAACTCCTGCTCAGGATATGTAACCTAGGTCTAAGGCAATTTAATTTGAAACAACTGACGGCAGAGCTGGGTGAATGAACTATCCTGACTCTAGATCTAAGCAGGTGTATGGTGCTGCACTTTTTGACTCTCTAGACCTGTCAGCACCAGCTCGGGAATCACTGTCTGTCTGCATACCCTTTCCATTGCACAGCACAGACATGCTCATTTTGGATTACTAACTGCTGTGGTGTGCTATGCTGGGGAAAGCACAAGTAGTTCTTATGCACCCTGAAGGGCTCACCACATCCACCACTAACTGCACCATGTCAAACTGAAGGTTTTTGCCCACGTTATGACAGAGTTAGGTCCTGGTTTGATGTAGGATCTGAGTTGCCCTGTGGTGATCATTAATCTAAGTGAGCTGTAAAAGAAATCCCCTATGAGGGAAGGAGGCTGTTAATCTGCTGCCTCTGAACATTGCCTTCTGCAGATATTCCCACACTTCAAGAGAAATTCAAAACAGAAAATTCATATGTATGTGCTTCAAATATTATATATTTTTATCAACATCTGTAAAAAGAGGAAGCTGCTTTCACCTATCATTAAACAAAATATGAAGCAGTAATAGAAATGGTAAGTATTAGTTAGGTTATCACTGTACTTCTCAAAGTATTTACTATATTTAAGTGAAATTAAAAGACCTCTCATCTTCTAGCCAAGTGGGTTTTTTTCCCACTTTCTATGCATTGACAGATATATACTTATAAAAAGGGCTGTGCAACACACTGAAACCTAATTAAGTGCACTCATTTCATAGGCCAGTCAAAAGGCCATCAGTTCACACCTGCAAAACAATGTGCATGACAACGATCTTCCACTGCCATTCTCCTATGCCAGAAATCTTTTTTATCATCTGAAGCACAGCAGTAGCTATAGGAGTCCATTTTCATTAATTAAATGTTTTTATTCCCTGTAGTCCAATTTATTTCACAAGCACTTTTAATGAAATATCAGGAGTATAATCTCCCTTGAGCAGTTATTTCAATTTTTTTTTTTTTAATGGAAGTTTAGAGGTCAGGTGGTCTTCTCAGGTAGCATCTAATACATGAAAGCTTTCATGCAATTTTCATTGGTTATTTTTGACTCACTAATATAGGTAGATGCTTTCCTTTGTGAATTAATTTACTATTCACACATACATAGTGATGTACGCCTCTGAAATACAGATGTAATTTTTACATTACCTGACATATCACTCTTTCAGAAATATTATTTATATTTAAATTACTGCCATCCTCTTTGTGAAATGCTTTCTCTCTTTTTTACTTTCATAAAGTATGCTGTACCAAATACACACAGTGCCTGTGCTCTTCAGCTATAACTGTGGAGTGCTCTAAGAGCTTTAGTTTAGTAACTGCAATGTCTTGCACAGGAGGTTAGACAGATGCAGCTTGTATTTACAAACACATATGCAACTTCAAGCCCTATAGATATTGCTACTAGATGATTTGTTATCATATAATTCCCCAACTACACACAACATAAAGAATGAATTACTGTAGTTTTTCTACTTTTGAAAGGCTTTACTATTTGGTTGACTTCAGTAGGGACTGTCTGGGCTTTGGACTTAGACTGACTAAGGTTGGTAACTTCTTCCTCAAATAAAAAATTCACTCCTAAGGTCACTTATTGATTTGCTTTTTTTTTAACGGGAAAATATGGCTCACTTTTGTGCTCTACACCCCTCTTCAAAACTTGCATCTGGATCTCTTGTAACTGCATTCCCTTTGAGAACAGACTATCTTCTACACAAGGACATCCAAAATTGTCACTGGATGTAAAATAATCTGTTGTGTCATTAATTCATTGAAGAACATCTAAAGTAATTTGTCTTTCCTGTTATTCTGTCTTCCTATGTCATGGTTGTTCTTCTGTTCTTCAAACTGTCCATGCACACAGTTGCCATTATGGAATAGTTTGGAAGAATATAAGAAATGTATTTATTCTGCTGTTTTCAAGACGTTTCATCTTTCAGTTTGGAACACCAGTGAATGTTTCCTCACTGTGGCAGTAGTGAGGCTGGTTGCTTCCCCAAGCGTGACAATCATCCTCTTTATGACATGGCAGTGTCAGTGACCCAAGGTGTGGATGGTGGTTATTAATTTTTACTGTATCTTCAAACATTTTTGAAACACTGATTTTACTTCTCTGCTCCCTTACTCTGCTCCCTCTGCTCGCTCAGACTCCTGCCCTGTGATGTCCAGCAATGATGCCAGACTTGCCAGTTTAGACTGGTAGCCTGTGGTAGTGATCACTTCCACTTTGCAATGGCAAAACAAGCAGGTCTTTTACAGTGTTTACCTCCTCTGTCTGCTGCAGGACACTGTTTTGGAGACTGGCCTTTTCACCACACCCATATTTAAATTATGGTATCTGACATAACTGTAAAGGGCCTTTGTTTGCCTGGGATCAGAAAGCCCAAAGCAATACAAACACTTCACTGACCTTTCTCTACTTGCTTCACTTGATCTGTAGCATCTTCCTAACAATTTAATGAAGAGTTCAATTTTAAAAGGATGGCTTTGTGCTTCATCATTTAAAGGATGTGCAAAACTGTCCAAAGGATACTTAAACAGAAGATTTTACATTCTATAGGGCTCTCTATCACACTGGGATCTACACCTAGTGTTCATATACTATTGCAATATAGGCAAGATTAGACTGCTAAAAGACCCTTGTTTTTATCATTGCTTTGATTTATTTTAACCTTTGTTCCCATTAGATCCTTAGCATTGTGAGGAATCATTACACTGTTGTAATAATAAAATAAATCACGACATGCCCCTGACACATCTGCTGCTACCTTGGCTAGATAGGTTTAATAAAAAATTAAATCGATGCATTGGAGTAATATAGTTTCTTTTGTTTCTGCTGTCACATATAACAACAACATTCTAAAGTTGCCAGCTGTCCCTTTGCAGGAACTCTGTCTGACCGTTTGCATAGTACAGACAGGTAACACTACTTTTATGTTTAGTTTCCTTCCAGAATAAAACAGACAAGTTTATGACATGGTATTTGCTGAGTTACCTCTCTGCTCTTATCTTGACCCACAAGTCTCCTCTTGTACTTATTTCTCCCTGTCCTGTTGAGGAGGGAGAGTGATAGAGCTGGTTTGGTGAGCACCTGGTGTCCAGCCAAGGTCAAACCACCACAACAAACTCGAAACTGGGTGACCAGAAAAAGTAATTCATAAAGTCTTCATAAAGTCATATTTTGTACTGATATTTTCTTCCCAGCTCCATTTGCAGTGTGTTATCAAATCCAATGGAACTTACATAGAGATGAAAGATTTTTGAATAAGAGCCAGACTGGACAGGGCTCGTGACTTACACAAAATTATTTATTATGGAGTCTAAACTATTAAATTTAATCTAAACTGGATGGAACTGGTCATTTGAGACATAACTGGATTGATCAGAAGGAGAGTTTAGGTAAGCAAACAATTTGGAATCAAGACTAGGGTTTTTTTGCTTTATTTGCTTGCCTCCTTCTGCCTCCCTGAGTGAACATACCAGAGATTGCTAAAGCCTAGAGGCCAGAGAGTATTCTCATCCTTGCAAACATACCTAGCAATAAACTATCTGCTCAATGGAATGTTTTGGTCTCTAAAGTAATGCAATGTTTCCAAAAATATATACAATAAAATATACACTAAATCTCTGACACGTGTAGTTAGGGACAGTAAATGCCTTCAGCTCCAGACACAGCTCACAAAATGAGATTACAGTTGTGTTTCAAAGAGACCACAGTAAACAGAGTTCAAACCAGCACATAGGCAGCTTGCCCAAGAATGGCAAGAAAATTAACAGAGTAAGCAGTAAAATAGCATCATAATAAGGTTTCTGCATTTCTTCACCTAACGTAGGTGGTTTTTTAAGTTTGCAGCGCTTACCAGCAGGTGCTGTGGCAGTTTTTGGCGCTGGAAGTAAGCTCCTGCGGGGAGTCGCTGTGCTGCTTGACGCCTGGGTTGTGCTCTTGCTGCTCCCCTTGGGAACATCTTTAGAAGGTGCAGATGCCTTAGGGGTGGCTTGATCTTCATTTCCAAAGCTGGAACCTGCAGGAGACCAAAAGTGCACTAATTACAAGTCCATTAAAAATGTATGTGAACTATGGCATACAGACTGAACATCTATCAGCAATTATAATCTACAATAACATGTTCTCACCGCCACTTGAGCTAAGTTACACTGACTTTGTCCAGTATAAACATTTAGGCAGAAATAAAAGAGTTCCCAGTAACTTACTTTAGACTCTTGGCAACTGTTGGAGTCTGATTCCAATAGGAACTTAAGACCTGCTTTTAGTCTAGCTCCTTGAAGGTATATGGGTACAAGGCTCAAAAAGAAACTAAGGAAATCCTATATATCTGTGTGGAGGAGTTGCTTATGGCTTTGGAGCTGCTACAGGAGTTAACCTACACATTCACCCTAACATTTGGGAGCTACTGGTTGCCAGAACAAAGGAGAATAGCAGTGCTCAGTGGTGCAAGGCTCCAAATTCTCTACCCAGGTAGGATTTCCCATAAAGAGTCCCTCAGATCACATTCAGAAGTTTGAATAGTAAGATGAAAAACAAACAAAAAAATTCTGCCTTAACTCTCACATCTGCCTCAATCATATTCTCATAACGAATCTTAGATTGCCAAGGTCTCCGCCTTATATTGACCTCTTTCAAAAATTTTAATAGGTTTGGTTTCCTCTAGGATTTGCAATCTAGGGAATAACAGCATCCTAGGTACTTTGTAGACATAAGGAAAACAATCTTTTCTTAACATTTGAGAAAGGCGAAGTTAGAGTGTCCTCTTTATCTATCTGTCTACAAGGTCTAAGAGGAGCAAAAGATTACAGCAGATCTGGACTTGAACATTTGCAGATAAACATTTTGTTTGAAAAAATGAGTGAAGATAGTGACAAAAAAAAATACAAGGTTTTTAGAAAAGGGTATAATTCTTATTTCAATTGTTTTATTAAGATGCAATATAATATTGTTTAGGTACTGCCTGCAGGAAAATGATAGTATGATTTTAATAACTGGCAAGTCCAAGTTTCCAGTATTTTTAAGACATAGGCTTCTTGAATGTGTGCAAGTATGGGAGAGATTCCATTTTTGACTTTCTTACTGAAAATTTACTAGAAAAAAAAATTCAGGTTGGAAAAGAAACTCCCCTTTTCTGATAAGAAAGAATATACCTTTTGGCTCTGGAAAAACAGCTGTAAGTTTTGCTGTGTCTTTAAGGCTATTGCATATAAGTCTTAATTTAAAATCTGTATCTGAAGTATAAATGGACTTCTACAAATATATTTGACCTTTGTCAAGCTACATTAAAAATTCAAACAAAACAGTGTAGTGTACTCTACACAGGAACAGAAAGACCTGAAGCATTTGTCACCTTCTCACTGTTGTGCACATAACAACCCCTCAGCACATCGGATCATTGTTTTATATCCAAACTATATGGATTTTTAACCCGTGTAACAAACTTTTAAGATTATGTGCTGAATTATCCGCTGACAAAACACTGCTGACTTCAGTAAAGTCACATCAGCAGAAAATCTGGCCCAGCCTCAATCTCCTCTGCAGCTGTGCACGAGGACATCTCTTCTACCAGGTGTCAGGAGGGTGCTGCAGCATGTGTGGCTACCTCAGGCTGTTTGCATCACACTCCTGAAGTTATTCCTGAAGTGGTCTCATGTATGTGCTCACCCAGTCACTTTGGGTAGCACCACTCATATAAAATTTTTTTCTTTCTTCAGTGATTTGTTTAAAAGTTTCAGCTGCAGGAGCACTAACCTTAAAGAGGAAATTATTCTTTTTATTTGCAGAGCAATGCTGTTCAAGTCCTCTTTAACTTAAGCTCTTTATTCTCAATTGTGAAATGTATTATATGGACTGAATGGAAGCGATTCCTGCATTGAAGAACCATGCCCAGGTGAGTTACATAACCTTTCACTTAAAAAAAAAAATAAAATAAAAAAGGCGCTAAAGTGCTGCCAGCTACAAACACTTTTCTGTCTAAAACACAGTGTAAGAGGTCTGCTGATTACATAAATGAGTGGGTGAGAAAGCTGACAAACACGGCCTCATCGCATGGCTGGATCAGAAGTGCCAGTGCCTGGAGAGAGCAGGCCACACACTTTGTGCTGTGGCTGGACACACACCTCTGGGGAAAAAAAAAGCAATGAAAAAAAGTGATACAGTTTTTGATCTTTTATTAAGAAATGGACTCAGGGAGACAAGCTGCATCGCTGTACTGGGTGTCTTGAGGCCACAGGGGCAGCCTGCATCAGGGGAGACTGGGCTGTCCTGGATCAGGCATGGATGCTTCCAGTAATAGACCCATGACAGGGCAGAGCCTGGCCTGTCAGACAGAAAGGAGACACTGCTGGGAGAATGTGCTTAAGAAAGAGTAAAATGCTGCTGGAGTGGACCACAGTGGAGTAGATATCCACACAGCGGTCCATGAAGGACCCCACACTGGCACAGGTGGACGTGGCCCAAAGGAAGCTACATCTATGGAGAGCCCTCATGGAAGCAAGTCCCTGGCAGAGGCTGTGGTCCCAGGAGATGAGAACCACACTGGAGCAGGTTTATCCTGAAGGACTGAAGCCCTGGGTAAAGACCCATGCAGGAGCAGGGAGAAGTGTGAGATGGAAGAAATGGCAGAGAGGAACTTTTGTGGACTGACTGCAACCCCCATTCTCCTCTCATTGCATTGTTTGATGGGAATGTGGGATAGGGGAAGTAGAGAAGGAAGAAGTAAAGCCAAGACTGGGAAAAAGGGGTGTGGGAAACCTATTTTAGGGTTTGGGGTTTTTTTTGTCTTTTTTTTTTTTCCCCCCCTCACAATTCAATTCTATTTCAATTGGAAATATACTAAATAATTTTCCAAGTCAAGTCTGTTTTGCTGTGACAGCAGTTGTTAAGTGATCTCCCTGTCTTTACCCATGAACATATTCACCTTATTTTCTTTCTTGTTCTGTAGAGGAGGTGAGGTAGTGAGACAGTGACAGGGTGGGTTGTCTGGCAGCCAGACAAGGTCAACTCACCACAACAGCAATATCCCTACAAGCCAGGATTCGCTGAGATAAGGTCAATATAGTATCTCTCATTTTGCTCTTCATTCAAGGATGGAGTTTGGAAAGAGACAGTGGGATAAAACAACATATGCGTGCATAATACGCCACAAAACCAAATGTTTGCCGATTACATGGATATCACTGGGACAGCTTCTAGTTCCCCAGGAGCAGGGGAAGGCAAGTTCCACCTTGCTACATATGGTGCTAGATTACATATTTCTTTTCAAATCGCATTTAAAGAATAACTTAAATTAAAGTTATAGAAGAATACATATTCCTCATGATCTAAGAAGAAAATAAAGCTTTTCCTTCACTTAAACGACTAAACTTGCAGGAAAATCAGAACGATTATTCATCGGATGGTATTTGTCAGTCTGTCAGGGGATAATGCCTTCCACTATTACCCACAGCACGTGAGTCAGTAGCATTTGCCCTCCCATAACCCCAGCTCTTACTTTTCAGTAAAAGTCTGTACAGAAACACCGGATGTGCGGTGGGTGAAGAGATGATCACATCCTTGGTTGTATAGTGCCTCTTCCCTCCTACTCCTCTACTCTGGCATTCTATCTAAACCAGGGGAGACTCCTTGCTTGCCTTTGAAGCACCTGGCAAATCATCTGGGGGCTTCTACATAAAAAGTCCCTGTATTTTTGCAGACTCTGTGCTCTATAAGAAGCAGCACTGCTGACTTTGCAGCAGAGTGTTTAATAGACTATCAACGATCTGCTGGAGCTAAAGGCCTTCAGCCTCACTTTTATCATCTCCTCACTATGAGCCCCAAGGAATCCTACTCTTCTGCTTGTGAAAAAAAATACAGAACAGAAGAATAGTTGTTTGAAGAGTTGCAGTTACTTTGTAGAGTCCCAGCTGCAGGCACTCTTCCCCTACACTCTTATGCCAGTAGACATGCAGAATTCAGGGCTGGGAACTCATTGTAGGCTGTGTGTTCAAAGAAAACCATGACCAAAATTCCACTGGCTCCCAGATGGCTTTGAATCACCCTCTCTGCATATCTGCCACTGCTCTCTTCACCTTCTGGCCCTGCCCTGCCACAGCTTGCATCAGGGGTTCCTCACCCTCAGAAAAGGAAGGCTCTCTTGTATATGTCACTAGGAGTTGGTGTCTCTTGTATGCGATACCTTTCTGAAACCATTTACAAATAATTCCCAGCAGGAACATTGGTGGGAAGAATTCTGCATTCGATGAGAAATTAATTAGGCCATGTTGTGTGGCAGATCTGAGAGGAGACAGCAATAGAAAGAGCTGTATTCTGGAGCTGAACAGCTACAGATTTTCCTGTCTGCAATCAAGGGCAATAAAGTCTCCTTTTGTTGGAGAACTAGATCCTTTCTAGAAAAGTAGCTTGTTTGACAACACCTAGGGGTCTCTGTTTTGCTGACAAACCACAGAAGAGTATTATAACTTCCACAGTTCCCTGTCTTGTGGGCTGTTATGTGAAGCCTATTGACACAGAGTGAGTCTCCAGCTCTGCACAGCAGGTCAAGCATTCACTGTGCTGGCAGTAGCTGTAATCACACACAGCTGTAATCATACCCAACACCCTGGGAACATCCTGGCATTGTGTATGTTCACTGAAGGACAAACACTTACCTAGGGTTATGGGAAGGCCTTTCCATGTAAAAGATCCTTGGACACTTCTTGATGCCAAGTTAATGACAATGAAGGTATTGCATGAAGCTGTTGCATCAGTGATCCCACTTAGCATTTCTAAAGAATTTTCCAGTCACAGAAGTCAAGAAGCTTTACAAAAGGAGTTGAGCCACTTTCCAAACTCACACAGCAAGGAAAAAGCAGAGACAGAGAAGTGAGCAGGAAAACCTGATAATGAATGTGGACTTTTTTTTCCACCTGCAAAACACTGGGATATATTATTCCCCTGGGTTTTACTAGGCTGCACTTTTGTGCCCCAGTTTTCAAGCACAAGTACAAGGACAAAGTGAAATTTAAAATCACTGCC